TTCCGAGCTCTCCCAAAGCACTTAAAAGACCCTGTTTTGGACAAATTTTGTGCGCCGCAGGCAAACTTTTGAAGAAGCAGGCCAAAAACGGCTTTTTTCAAGGCATTTTTTGGAAAAGTTTCACCAAAAAATCGCGTTTTTTTTGCGCGCCTCAAAATTAGTTTTTTTTGGCGCCAAAGACCAAATGGTCCGTAACCAAACGTGTATACCTCAAAACAGTACAAAGGGGGAACCCTTTGGGTAGGCAGGGGGTCGAATCCCTGGAAAAAGGCATCCCCATGCAATTTTTCAAATGCAATTCAATCAATGCCATTTGTTAAAGACAAAGCTGCATTTAACAATAAACAAGCATATTTTTTAAAGTTTCATGCTCTAACTTTTCATTGATTTTGGTTTTTTTTTCTGAGATCTCTTAGAACATAATACCCCATTTCGCAAAAAAAAGGCAACTCGCAAAAATAGGTACCCGCAATCAGTAAAAAGAGAAAAAAAATAGATTATAATGGTTTTTTATTGTCAGTCTCAAAAAATTTCAAAAAGAACTGATTTTAATTGATTAAAAAATGGATTGTAATGTTACTATTTTTCGAAACAAAGAAAATCATTATAATAGTTTATAATCGATTATAATCGATTATTTTTTAAAAAATGAAATTTTATTGATTTATAATCCATTATAATGGATTATAATCTATTTTAATTCAACATTTGTCATCGCTTCATCACATTTTTTTTGTTTTATCTCGTTGTTGTTTTGTGTGCTTTTCAGTTGTATCAAAAATTTCCAAAAAATTAAAAATTGTCTAAAACGCCTTTTTTGGCCTGTTTTTGGATAATTTTGCCTGCAGCGCAGAAAAATTGATCAAAATGGGGTCTTTATAGTCAATTAGGAGAGCTCAGCAAATCAATTTGGTCAACCTGAAAAAAAATCGACAAAATTTTGAAAATCCGCCCCCCCCCCCTTCCTCCTCCGCCAAGAAAGTCCGAGATCCGCCCCTGTTTATAGCCTAATTTTTTTTACTGTTTTTTTATGCAGAATAGCTAAATTAAAATGCATTACATTTGTTTTTTTGTGAGATAATATTTTTATTAAAAAAGGGATTAGAATCTATTATAATAGATTATAGGAGATTTTCGGAAAAATTATAATCACTTACAATTGATTATATTTTATTAAAATGTCACCAAAAATATTATCATTATAATGGATTATAAATCGCTTAAACATCTAAGTTTGGCGCTTATAATTCATTATAATTTTGGTAAAAGTACGATTATTATTATGATATAATCGATTATTTCCTTTTTTAACAGAGTGCGGGTAAATCGCAATATACTCACCGCCGCATTCGCGCCAATGTGTTGTGAGCTAACCATCAGATAGTAGAACTTTGTAATTTTGAGAGCCATTTAGAGCCATTTATTTCCAGGAAATTGGCTACCTTAAGCTGAAATTCGTAAGTTTCACCTTGAACTTCAAATCTAACAATTTTTTTAAATTTTGCGAACTGTCTTTTGTTACGAATTGTCCTTAATTACGAGTTGTCGTGGTACCCTCAAATTCGGTCGGTTTGATACTGGGGTACTGAAAACAGTGATTTTGAGATACTTTTCTTATATTTATGTTCCATTTGTTATACTGAACGCCGTTTGATTAGTTCATTTTATTCTGACTTTTTCTGAAACTTTTTAAAGAGCAATTTTCACAAGTTACATGAGTGGTCCTATAATTACTCTTTGTTGCAACACAATATAATAAAAACACTACAATGTAAAATTTGATTGAAGTTGCTTTTTGACCGTGAACGTTGAAGATCTTTTTAAAAAGTTCAAAGACTCTCTCTAACTGGATGGTTAATTTGCTACTTTCATCTTAAATCTTGACATAAGAAAAACAAATTTTATCAAAAAATGTCATAAAGTTAAATTAAAAACCAGCTCAACCAAACAATTTTATGGCCGCTTGAATTACAACACCGCTATGACCACGCCCTAAAAAGTTGTAGAAATATTACATTTCCAGTTCTGCTAACAAGCGCAGGAACTGATAAAACATGTAAAAATTAAAATAAAAAAGGAAAATCATGGCCAGTGCATATAAAAAATCAAAGGAATATTTGAAAAACTGCAAAATTAAACCAAGTTACTCCGAAACATTTTTTAAAAATCATTGGCTAAACGCAAGGGCTCCAAAAAGTAGTGAGCACATTTTTCATAAGAGATTGATAATTTTAGCCATATAACTGTTTGTTCTGCTTACGACTTATACCATACAAGTGTACAGAATGTTCCGACTGAATATCCGCATTATCTTACGGTAAGACACGTGATAGTGAACAAAAAACTTTGCCTAGTTAAAAATTCTTTCTCTCTTTTTTTGGCCTATCACAGAGGCATCAATTAAAGACATCAACTTTTATTAAAAGGTATCAATGATTTTGTTCGATCATTTCTGGCACTATACAAAACCCTGAAGTTTATCCAACAAAAAGTTTTCGCAAGTAACGCTGAAAAAAGTGAAATTAATCAAATTTTCTAAAAAGAAATTTGAAAATGAAAGATCCTTTTGGTGAAACTTTGAAAAATCATGCTGACTTTAACCCTAGTTGTAATCGAAAAGAAAGCAAGGAATGGTGCGGTTAACAAAAATAAATTCTCTTTCTTGTTATCTCTGAACTATTTTAGTTTTTCGTCTCACAAAGCTCATAATGAGGAGCTCTCTCTGTTGCTAAGATTTTTGCCCAGGCAGACGATATGAAAGTTGTTTGCTCATAGATAAGAATTTCATCAAAAATTATTTTTGTTGCAGGATTTGTTAACTGAAACTCCGAACTGCAACTTTGGAATAAAAATAGTGAGAAAATTTGCTCAATTTCCCAATAATGGCACTCACTATGCAAAAAAAACTTAGCCTTTCAATTAATTCTAGCCAGGCCAACAGTTTGATATTGAAAAAATATCTTTTATCCCTCCAAAAAATTAGTCTGAGGTTAAAGAACAATCAAACGAACTCACACACGGAACATAATTGTTAGCTTAAAATTTTTTTGAAAATTTTGAAAATTTTCCGGAATGATTACTAGAAAAAAAAGTTCAGCTACTTTAGTGTTGTCCTCGAGCCTCGAGAGACTATTATGTGTCTTCAAATTTAGTTTTGAGATTTGAACAACAATATTGTGCTTCTTTTGGATCAAATTTTTTCAAACATTTTTTGATACCATTGGAGATTTTGATTTAATATGTTTCCACGCTTTTCTCAGCTTTTTGGTCCTAATTTTAACAATGAGGTCCTGGAGCATTGAATAACATGTAAAAGCAGAATTCAAAAAAAATGTTCTCATTATTTTTTGTCAATGCAATTTACTGATTGATACATTGAATAAATAATAAAATTGAAAAGACAGCGGTTTAAGGTCAACGTGCTAGTTTTCAGAAACTTTTTAGGATGTGCTAAAATCTTTGATTTTTTATTATAGATTTTTTGTACCGTTTTCGCCCTTAACGCTATGTTAAGAACGCTTTGTAACTCTCTCCGTATTCCAAGTGTATGATAAACTTTTTTACGGCTGCAATGAAAGCATTACATTGCAGAATCTCTTGGAGAAATTTCTAAAGTTGGAGATAAATTTATTCCGACTCAGATATTTTAAGGAAATTACTACAAAAAAATATGGAGGTTTTGGGTGGTTTTTTTTTGTTATTCTCGCGTCGTTACAGGTATTTATTGAACCAAATAGCTCGCAAAAACTTCAATTGCTGAGAAAATGCTAATCCTTAGTCTTTTTGTCATATCAAATAAACAGATTGAAACTGTTAAGATGCGTTTTTCTTTCGTGCCACTAACTGATATTAAATTATAGCTATAAATCTTAGTTAATTACCAAAACCTCATCCTCGTGTTTTTGATATTTTTACAAAAATGACTTTAGAAATATAAAGAAAACGTCGATTTTTTGTTAAGGCCAAGTGCGTTTAGTAAATCGAAGTTTCAGGAAATTACCATATCAGTTAAGACCAATTAGCTTGCTGCAGTATAGTTTGGAGCAGTTTTGCGACGCGTAAAAAACTGTGCCACACTTTGAATTCAGAAGATAGAACAAGCAGTTTGCATGGTATCATGTCAGATTAATTGAGTTGTGTGTGTACCCGGCAGGGCACTTGTAGATCCCAGGGATCAATCCCACCTGTGAGTAAATAAATTTTTTTGGAAACTGGTCATAAACAACCCCACCGAGCTACAAAAAACCCCAGCATAAAAAACCACACCGAGCAATCGGAAATCGGAACGAGGATATTATTTGCGGAATCAAATTTGGTTCGAATTGTTTTTTTGAACTACAGCAACAATTGTAGTTCATGACAAGAACAATTTCTTAATTCATTATCTGTTTCATATTTGGTTTGAGGCAATAATTTGTCCATTACGTGTAAACATCCCACATGTGAAACATCTGAAAAACCAAAAGGCGTTGCGAACATCCAAGAAACGCTTTACAAGGTGAAAACATCCGAATTTTTTCAAAAATTAGGGCAAAAATCAGATTTCTGTCCTTCGTTTTAGTGAGCTGTAGTGGTCGAATGAAGGCGGATTGCCGCAAGTCGCGCTAACGAGGTGTGAGCTTGCCATCAGAGGGTGGGATTTTTTTATTGACAAATCGAGCGTATTATTGACAATCCTAGCGTCATTTTAATACATAGTTTTTATATAAGTTCGGATCTTTAACATACCAGATGTCTTCAAATGGTTTAATTGCATAATTTATTAATGCATTTTTGGTTTCCTGATTTGGTCCGTTATTTTTCGGTGGTTTGATTTTGTTGCGTCGATTTCCTTGCCTACCACCATTTACTCAGTTTCGAATAAAAAGTAATTTTTTTCCCGAGGATCTACAATTGAAATAGACATTCTTCATTCTGTGCTTTAATAAATTCCGGAAAACATTGAAACGCCTTTTAAGGAGAGATATGAATTGTTGCCTTCATTAACCTTTTTGTTTCAGGAAAAGTTTTCTGCAAAATCAGTATAAAAGTTCATAAATTTGGTAATTTCATTTTCACTTCGAGTTTCCAAGTTTAGATTTAAATCGCCCCTTTTTAATTTTCTCTATCTGTTTTTTCAAGATAAATGAAAAAGTCAAAAAGTATTAATAAGATAAAAAACGGAGTCGCCCCCTCAGGTCAAAGTTGCTGAGCTCTAAGCTCAATTATGATTGGCTGAAAGGTGCTTGTTTAAACTAGCTTCTTTTTTTTCAAGATAACTGAAAAAGTCAATAATACTCAGAGATAAAAAAAAAAACAAAGTCGCCATCTAACGTCAAACTTGATGAATTCCAAGCGCGATTCCGATTGGCTGAAATTTTATCTTACTGTCCTTTTTTATCTTATTTTTGCAGTGTATAAGTATGTAGCGGTGTGTGTTTTGTGATAAGCAGCTATGATTGCTTAATTTGATAAGGGGAAAATAATAGGGAAAACTAGAATCGTTCCCCAATGGTAAAAGGTAAGAAAAAATGGGATGAGGCCTAGCGTGCAAAGGTAATGATGATCGCAAGTCTTTACCTGAGTCTTTGCAAAAGCAGTGAAATGTTTTCTCCTATCATTTTTATCTTCATCCAATCGCATTTCAGGAATCTATTTTGACAAACAATTCCAAAAAACGCAGATGTATTTTTGATTTAATGTTAATTTGCCATCTTTCGACTGTATAATTTATCGAGAATAAAATTGAACCGGCCCCTTTTTAAGAATATAATGGCGACAAATTCAACTGCCTGCTGTGAAAAATTATAATTTCCCCTTTAAATAGTTAATAAGGACGTTAAATTTTGAATATCCGGTCAATTTATCGAAGAGACATGCTTAAAAAAATTCAAGATCTCAAATGAAAGGCTTACAAAATATCCCCTGACAATTTTCCCTCTAACAGACAAACAATTCTGATTAGCTGATGAAAGACCTAAGTTCGCTCCCATGGCAATGTGATAAATCTTCAGCCACATTGTATCAACAATTTTCGATCGTTGCCAAAATCGACTATCAAATTCAAACCCACATTAATGTTTTCAAACAATGATTTCGAAGTTTATATCTTTTACTGTTTATCACATTTTAGCCATATCACAATTATACTCAATAATAATTAGCCCGCTGTCAAAAAATGACATATTTTTGCTCAAAACCGCAAAAAGTGTTAAAAAGTATCCGCGATTTTTGATGAAAATTTGCTTATTACACGAAGCGAGACCATCAAAATGCATTCACATGTTCTACTTTTAATTATGACCTCGGTTTACTGTTTACTAAGCTACGAGAGTTCATCAATTTTGGTTGTCGGAATATTAAACCCAACCGGGCCCCCTGGTTTTCGGGACGTATCAGCCCGGTCGGCTTTACCCGACGACGTGTTACTAATTCTCAAAAATGATGCTTTAGCTGCAGTTCTGGAAGAGCCGATGAATATTTCGACAAACTCGGCAGTGATCTGCTGGCAGAAACCAGTTGCTGACTCGCAAGTTAAACTGTACACTCTCAAAGTTGAAATCGATTCGGGAGACATCAGTTCGTCGGGTGGGAACACCGTGTTTTCGGCGGATGTTCCCGCGGGTAAAAACGAAGACCGGTTTTGCCAGTCCGTGGATAACTTGGAAGAAGACACGAAGTATGTGTACACAGTTATTGCAGTGCATATTAATGGACTAGCAATACAAAACGTAGACAGAGGCGCCTTCAAAACCAAAGCAAACTGTGAGTATTTTTGAAAAATTGAAAGGTTCTTACCATTAAATGGAATTAAAATCAAATTGTGCGGTTGCCGTCAATCATTTTTTTTAAGTTTCTCCAATTTTTGCAAAGCAAACACTATTTCATTGATTTTCAACGTTACTCAAAACATTCAGGGCATTGCGCTGATACGAGCAGTCTTGTTCTAATTGTTTTGACTACTGAAAAAAAGGAAGAGTTTTACTCGGGTGTTTTAATTTTTTCTTTTTCTGTTTTCAACGCAAAATTAGCTATTACGTCTAATACTCGGAATAGATCGAGTGATGTTTCATATTAAAGCCCTTTAACCTTGATTCGAGTGACATTAAAATTTTTCCAAAGTTTGTTTCGCGAGAAACTGGTTTAAAATTTTTGATTATTTAGTCTCAATTCGCGCGAAAGCGAGCGAGTAGGCCTACAATAGAAGAATAGCTTATTAATGCTTGATTTAACCCGTTAAAACTTGATTTTGTTCCTTTAATAATTTGAAGTTTTCAACGCCATTTTGTGATTAAAAAACTTGCAAAACTTTCTGAAAAATCGTTGTAAAAAGGGTTCCCTTTTTTATAATTTTTTTTGTTTTTCTTGTCAGTTTTCTTCGTTAAGCATAAATAAGACATAAAATAAACTGAGCATAAATCTAAAGAACGACAGAAATTAGTTACATTAAAAAAACTGTAGAAATAAAAATTGTAGTGATAATTAACTAAGGGTCAACAAAAGTGGGCTTTCAGAGTCACCAAGTTACGAATTTTTATTGAGACAGTCAAAATTTCAGGGGATAAAAACTTCACTATTTTTCGTTTTCTTAACTTCATGGCTGCGCTAAAACAAAGATTAATCGTTGGCTGCGCTAGAAAGCCAAACGTTTGCGACAGCAATTGATTTGCCAAGAAGACTTGAAAAACAAAGAAGAAAAACGAATTTACTTTTTCTTTTTTTTTTTAGTTGAAAGGAAAAACTATCAGATTAAAGCGTTTTTTGAAAGTAGTTATACTATCTTAAATTTTTGAATTTTGTTAAAGCATCATTTACAAAAATTCCATCTTTCATTTCTAAAGTACCTATATCTACTCGTTTAATCCATCCACTGGTTTTAAAAAAAATTCTTTGAAAATTATTTTCCGAACTTCTCATGATGAAAACTTTTTTTCCATTTCTCTTTTTTTCATTTCAGCTTGTTGAGAAGTCCTTAGGCCTACAGTTTCAAATAAACTGATGATAAAGCGAAAACATGTTGACTGGACGTTTGCAGTCAGGTTTGATTTAATAGATTCTCACAATTTTAACAGTTAATTTCCAGGATTTTTAAAAATGTTTGTATGTTTTCTCAAAACAATATTTTTTGATAAGACTAAACGCAAATTTTCAAACTAAAAAATGCTTTATTCAGTCGTCTTTTAAATTGGATACTTTGAAAATTTGCTGCATTTTTTTGGATGTGACATTTGAGTCATTAGAAAAGCTTCATAAATGAATGAAAGACATGCTACTTTTTAAGAATTTGAAAATTGACCAAAAAATTGATTTCAATCCGTCATGATTAGAAAAAGATGCAACCATACGGCCGTAAAAGGAAATTTTTAAAGAAGTTACGTCGGTGATTTTTTATTGAACCATAAAACTTGCAAAGTCTTTCCATTTCATCATTAACGTTTGTCTTATGCTAGTGGAATTTTCAATGGGATTTTAAAATCATACTCGTTGGTTTTCAAATAATTGAGAAAAAAAGTTTTGTTTTTGATTTTTCCTCATTTTCTCCACCGCACACTATGCAAAGAACTAAGCGTGTTATTAGCGTCTAGTTTCGGAAAAATAGGATCAAATTGCTGCTTAAAATTCAATTTGGAACGCATTAATACGCTTGTTGTGCGTGTTATAAGTGCTCAATATATCGCAGTTTAATTTTCCCAAATTGGTCAAATTAGCAACTTTTAAAACTTTTAAAAACTTTACGACGAAGGATCACAGGTGAAATACATCTTTAACTTGAGCTTAGCATAAAAATATCTCTCGAATGGTAACAATATCTCTCAAGTTTAATGCTATATAAGGTTAAAAAAACCTCTCAGAAAATTCCGTCAAAAACGCTTGGTTAACAAGTCAAAATTGACTGAATAAAAAAAACACATCAAGCATAAATACTACGCACTTTCTTCGTAAGTCGGGAACAATGAAAAAAAAACAAAAGGAGCGCACGTGAAACAAAACACGAGCTCGGTACATCAATCTAGTAATTCTATTTAAATGAATTAGTATAATTTCTGTCAATTTTGAACCGTTCTCAGTCTTTTAAAATATTTTTCCTTTCCTGTTTCCGCTTCCGTTTCGAAATTCAATAAAATGTTGCTAATCAGAATGCCACATGATTGTTTGCGTATCCCTTTTACGTCTACTTACTTTGATTTGCATCAATAATAAATTAAATGCCAGATGAAAATCTTTTCTTAAAATATCTTTTCAAAGGAAAAAACTTTGCATCTTTGCTTGAATCATTGAAAATGAGCCAGTTTAAAATACAGTCATTTCTTTGAATAGATCAAGAAAACTTGAAAAGTCACCTTATATTTCGAATGCAAGAATTTGCGGCGAGAACATTGATGATCTTGATTAAATGAACAACTTAGATGCCAGCTGAAAATCATTTGCCCCTCACATTCTCGTTTCAAAGGAAACAATTTTGCACTTTTTGTTTGAACCATAAAAAACAAGCCTGGTGGAGACAAATCAATCAACTTTTAAATTAGTGAAGAAAATACGAAAACTCACCCAAAAAATTGAACGCAACAGTTTGCGACAATAAGCTAAAAAAGATCACTCTGATCAATTTCTGTCAGAGCAAGTTCATTTTGAAAAGAATATATTGAAACTGGGTACCGCGCAAACATCCGATATGTCAAACATCCTATAAACTAAAAAGTGCTGCAATCATCCAATTTTATAAAACATCCCTTTTCTACTGTTCGCTTAAAAGATGCTTTTTTGGCCGATTTTCAATTAAAAGGTAATCATGGTACAAATAATTTTTGCCGCCTTTTTTTGGTAATAAAAACACAACATACTTTAAATTTGAGCCGCATTTTGCATAGTGATAGGAACTCGCAATTAATTTATGAATCATTTTTTTTGCTAAATTGTAAACACCTAAATGGGTTCTCTGTTGGTTTTGAAATTCTTACGTCGTTTTATTACGTAGTTATTATATAAGTTCGGATGTTTGACATATCGGATGCTTGCACCAGACACAAGAAAATTTTATTTTATAAATCAAATGCTCGCACGCAGTGTTATTGTATAAACGATGTTATGTTAAAATTAGGTAATATAGTGAGCAGTTGGAAACTTGCTCCAAACCTTTTCTCCAGACTTTTTTTTATAATTTAGTTTTCACGAAATATTTCACCCGATGAAACTTTATTCATATCTAGACTGTTCACAAAAGACCCATTCGACGTCTTTTTTTCTTTTTTTTGCTAAAAATAAACTTAACCTGAGATAATTTACCCAAAGTTTGAATGAAATGGAAAAAATCATCACGCGTGACACAAGTGACCCCTTCATCGTTAGACATGGTATTAATTCAATCATGACCTATTTGGATACTTTGATATAATTTCTTCATTCATCCTGACTGAATAATTTTTTCAGCTGAGACTGCTGAGTCAGTTATGATTGATAACTAATTAAAACTGAAAGTGATTTCCGAGGATCTATACACTAGCCAAAAAAGACTATTTTCAAATCTCGCTATTGCCTTAAACCACCCTTTTGGTATAAAATAGGAACGTGATTTAAGTTTTGCGTGAAAAAAAATTCCCCGTTAAGCTTGATAAAAATTCCTTGTTGGATCTTTGAGACATAAAACGCTAAGCGTTGAAAGTACAACGCAATTCTTTGGCAAGTAAAAATGAAATGTTGAACGACTGATATATTTTACATTCATCATCTTTAAACTACAATACTTTTCGAAGCAAGACAAAACCATTGCAATTGAAATTGAGGAAAGCTTATTGGTCGTTTTAGTTTCGTAAAACTCAAATTTTCATGCTCGATATCCTGATCCAAATCATATGAATTTTCAGTTTTTATCTATCCCAAAAACTTTTCGATTCCAAGGGGTTCTTGGAACATTCGGTACTTTGCCTTGTAAAATGAGCACTCTTGATATTCCGACTTCCGAAGAAAGTCACGAAAATTTTTTGCTCAGCATTGTTTTTTTCTCCTGACGAGTTTTGACTTTTTATCATGTGATTTTCGACCTATTTTTTTATTCATTCGAAAGGTATTATATTGTTGCCTGAGCTCATATATAAAGTATAATCGCTTGTGATCTGTTTTTGCGAGCACCACTAAAAAAACTTGAAAGACAGCCGGAATATTCAGGGTTTTGTTCTGATACGAACAGTCTTTACTAAATATAATTTAAAAAATCCATAGAAATAAAAACATTTGCAATCGAACACTACTAAATAGACCTTTAAAGCCAATCGGAATAATCAGGGTTTTTCTCTGATACGAACAGTCTTTAGTAATTTTTTTTGAAACCCCTTAGTTAAAAAGGTAGCGAATAGACTAATATAGTTCTTTTTGTTACATCTTAAATAGAAATGGGGGAAAATTATGCTTGGTAGGTTCTTTATTCCTTCATCTTTCGACTTTTTGTTTAAGCATTTGGCGAAAATTTTATAGCATTTGAAGGATGTTGTTGTCTGGAGCTTAAAAAATGTTTCACCCGTGATAGGTTTTCACAAAGTTAAAATGGTTCGAATTTGGGATTACTTTGCTTACCATAGTTCAAACTGCTATAAGTAATGCGCGAATGGTATATTTCGGTTTAACAAAGCAAATTCAAAAAATTCAAAATGAACTGAGGCAAGCAGTTTGCTCTTATTAGTTTGTTGTTGCACGCAAAATTTTTAATTGGTTCTTTAGTTTGAAATAATTTGAGTGGAATAATTTCAAAGAGAAAACTTTGTTTTGAAATC